CTGTGTGGAGACGGCGGCCCGCCCTGAGCGCCCAATAAGTGCATAGGGGAACTAAAAATGCAAGTAAGTGCGATGTGAATTACGAAAGCAGGCGTAAAAAAAAGATCTTAACAGAGAAATGTATTCAGTTAGCACCAGAAGTTTGCACATGAATTCTATAATTCGAAATGAACTCACATTTGAACCTTGAAGTGAACTGAAACTTATCGAAAACTTTCACGAAATGTTAAGAAAACAGTTTAGTTGGGGATGTAGTGTTGGCTCAAAAAAAGTACATCTCGCTAACTCTTGGTGTACTTTTCATTTCACTTCAAAAGTGTACTATGACATGTATACTTTAAAGTAAATTTTAAGTTAATTTCCTTCCACCCGGGGAAATTTGTCTTTCTAATACTAAATTGCAGAACAAGATAAGGTATCCCCTGACATTTCACGTCAATAATAGTCCTACACATTGTGTCTTCCACCGAGAGACAAGAAGTAATTGTTATCAAACCACAAATAAAATATTAATTTGTAACTTGTGGCAGGAGTGGCGTTGTTTAATTTCAATTTTTTGCCCGCATTAGACTCTCACCGCGATGAGCTTAGGTCTGCGTGAGCGTGAAACGAGCGGTCAAGGTTTTGCTCATCAGGGGTGACAGGGCCTGCGCCCTGCGGCCAGCGGGGTGGAAGCAAGGGGCGACCAGGTAGACTCGCAAGTAAACAGAAAATTCATCAGCATGACGACACTGCTAACAATACTGCCTCTAGATCCCCGTCTCACAACAGCCCAATAATTCTGAAACTATATAATCAATGGCATTTAAATTTTCGGCTTGTATAAACAGATCACAATCGGGTTCTATTTTTTTACGACTACCTGCCCCGTCCGTTTGACTGATCCGGGAGGAGAAACGGAGAAGAGGGATGAAACGGAAAAAGAGAGTGACTGTGGGGGAGAAAGACACCCCCTCGCCTATCCCCGGCCCCGAGTCCTCAGAGGCGGAAGGGGGATGCGGAGGCGGAGGCGGTCGCCCCCCGGCGGGCTCCTTCTCCCACGGCGCAGGGTGCCCCCACAGGGGGCGGGAGGGGCCGCGAACAAGTCAGTCCAGATGAGGACAGACCCTTTGGACTCGGACGCAGTGGCGCGGCTGCCCGCACCTCTTCCGGCCTCATCATCACCTTTCCCACAAAAACATAAAACGTTTAACGGCCGGGATACCGAAAACGAGCCCGTGCAAAGCTATATTTCGATTTGACGCATGGAGGAATTCCAGCAATATTGTTTCGCACACTGGGAAATTTGCATTTATATACCCGTGGCTATTTCGTGGCTGCCTGCCCCCCAGTCCGCGCGGGAGCACGGGTGGACGCCTCGCCCGCACGCGGGGGG